TGTCGAGAGTAGCGGGTTAAACTATTGTAGACAATAGATGGTGATTGAGACAAAATGCTTGTTAAATATGTCATTTGCTTGCTTAAATCACGAGAAGGCTAGAAGTCGTCTAGCTTTGATTTCCCATTACACTTGGGACTAACGCTTCATAATATTTTTGCTTGTTTTCTTCAAGCTCATTATTTCAATTGCCAGAGACTTTAATTTATTCACTATGTGTAAAATCATTATTCTGGCCCTTAACTATAGGTGTCTCTTTTGAATTCTTCCGCGATCGAGTATTAATTTTTTAGGTGGCCACGATGCCAAGACGATTTATCAAGCGATTGAGCACGTTTCCTTTTCACATCATCAAGCAAGGTTCATTCCAGATATACAGCATTTATTCTTGCTCATTACTTTTTGGTAGGGTATCGAGTATGCTCCAGGGAGTCATTACTTAAATCGGCGATAAGAGCATTGGTGTCAACCTGAGCAGATTTATCTCCTGAACTCCACTGGGAACCTTTAGAAGATACCTTTCTTAAAAAGGTTCTAGGCGATTTTTCCAATAGTTCTAATCGCCTAACCTGCAAGTAAGTTGCATCTCCATCTCGCATTGGCCTCCAAGCACGTATCCTGGAAATATAGATTCATGCACTCATTGGCTCTAAATCTCATTTGGCTTTAGCCAGGAAAAGGCTGTTAAAGTTTTTGTACTGGCAGCCTGAGAAAACAGCTGACACATTTCGCTACGCCAACACTGGTTTCCCGCGAAGCGAAGTCTTAGAAACGAGCGCAGAAATTCCATACTGGTGACGAGTCACTACCCAGATCTGGGTAGTGCTTCTGATTGGATAAAGCAAATTTTCAACCAATCAGAAGCACTACCCGGATCAGGGAAGTAACACGTCATCAGTATGGATTTCTTCGCTCGTTTGTTAGACGACATTTCGCGGGGAAACCAGTGGAGACGTCGTGAAATGTCGCTTGCTTTCTCAGGCTACCGTACTGGTAGTGACAGCTTGTCTACCTCATCTGCCAAGCGTTTCAGCAAGGAGACTGGTGATGTCTAACCTGCGAAATGAGTCAACGTAATACCAGTTACATCAGGTCATTTTACACGATATATCGGCTATACACCACTGCTGATCAAAACTGCTTCTTCCTGATCTCTGAAGAGCAACTGTTACTGAGGGAACAAGTAAGATATATTTGTTTTATATTGATATTTACTAGTTTATTCGCTAGTTTTGCGTTTCTAACCCTAAGAACAATACTTATTAACTCAGCTCAGTACAAACGACTTCATGAGAGTATTTATGAAATTACCATTTTGTTCTTCGAAGTTCTCTTCTAGAAGTCGCCCTTTTGTTTTGACTTTTTCCCTTAAAACTACATTCCAAGTCCTTTTTTTCTAGTTATTTTGCATAAGTGCAATTTGTCTCCTATCCTTTTTTTCGTTTGCGTATTTCTTTCAACAGTAAAGAGCTTTAAAAAAAAGTTTGTAAATCTTAGGGGGTTTTAATGCTTGAGGATTTCAAGTGAAAGGCCGCCAAAAGTATTTTCTTTCATATTAACATTATTCATTTTTGCTATTTTTAAAATAAGGATGAATGCGGCTAATGTTTGCACTATAGGAAATTTTGTTTTAGATGCATATGCCAGTCCATTCTTTATAATTGTCAAGCTGACTGGTGTTACCAGATATTTTCGAAGGCTCTGGTTGACGAAGGGCTTACTGTGATACGAGCCCCCTTTTTGATTCTTAAAGAAGCAAAAGTCTAAAGTTTTTTTATTGAGACATATAAAGCAAACCCCATGTGTAAATGAAAAAAGCCCATGTCTCTACATGCAGTGAAGCCTCCCTTAGTTAATCAGCAGAGTGTTGTACATGAATTCAGTAGAACGTGATTTGTGTGATGCATAAATCATATCAGTCGAAAGAGCCGTCATCCGCGGACCGCCTTCTTCTTTTAGACCCGACGTTCAAGCGAAAAAGGGAGACAGCAAGGGGAGAGACTTCTCTCCGTTACCCCCTTCCTCTTTCTCCCTCTAAAATCTCTTTTTCCCTTAAACCTTAACAAAGGCCTGGTAGGCTGACGTTAAAGTAAATAAACCCCAGAGTCATTCCTTTTGTGCCATAAGAAGCTTGAGGTAACAGGTTTGTAGAGAAAAAGGGAAAAATAAAATCTTCCGTGAAAAACAATTGCAGGGCCGAAAAAGGTGCATATAAACGCAGGCTCCAGAACGCCAAGTTTGAGACAATCGTCTTTTGACTAAGAAAGTGGCTGCGTTGAAACTGCTACCACCATCTGAGCAACTGTTTCAGGTGTTCCAGGTATTAAGATAAAGGTTTCAATGACGTTTGCAGTGTCTCCAGTGGGTGTACTTCGCCCGTCTAGTTTCCCTTCTGTAAAAGTTTTAGCATCAGAGTTTTAATTTTAGGCTCTTATTAATTATCTGAATTAAATTAGTAGATAAATAAGGATTAAAGGTAATACAGCGACATAGTGGTTCTTCGTCTACCAGATTCCTGGTCGAATTGGAATGTGAAAACGTTGCTATTTGAGAAGAGGGGAAATTTGGAGGACCGCCCGTAGTAAAACCTCTCGGAACAAAGAAAAGATACAACTGAAAAAACTCAGTCTTATAGAGAGTCAAAGAAAGGGAGTAAAGAAAAGCAGGGACCAACTGTGACTAGGTGTGCGTTTTACCGAGGCTTCCGTCTTATAGGGGTGTGCATTAAGAGAGTCGTGAATCAGGATTTCCATTTGTTTGGAGTTTGTGTTTTGTATAGTTCTGTAGTGATTCTTTTTTTGTTTTTTGTTTTTTTTGTAAGTATTTTGCTGTTTTTCGTATTCACTAATAAAGGGTGAAAAAATTAAACAAAGCTGTTAAATAACAAAAAGAAAAAGTGGCCCTGAAGAGTGGATTTGAAAAATTAATTTTCGTGAGACGAGAAAAAAAGGATTTCTAATGCTTTGTTCAAAAGATCAAGTTCCAGTCTAAAACACAGCGTAAGATGTGGCAACCCGATCTCGAGTACTTTGCTTGGGTTTATCTTTTCTCGGATGGGTTTCTGTAAGGTTTTTGTATTATGTGGTTTCGTGTCGCAAACCTTATCCACCACAGATCGTTACAGATTATATATATGACTATATACACCTTATTCGATGGTTTAGCATATAATACGTGCGGATATTTTGCCAGTGGCGTAGTATTTTTCCGAGCCCCGCGGGGGCGAGGAAAGATACAAGCAATGAGCAAAATGTCCGCTCGTATTATATGCTAAACCATCGAATAAGAGGTTTATTATTCCACTACAAAAAAACTGTTATTTGCAATTGGCCTCTACTTTCTGGTAAGAGTCATTCACTGAACATCCTGATTCCGTCTGTGAGAATGACGTTAATGTTGGCGCGTGATTCTTTTACTGCAAAAGAAAAATGTGATTTTGGCTTCTGTTTTCTAGTAAGAGGTATCCAAAATATCCTGATTCTGGCAGCCATAGTTGCTCCTTTTGCATCCGCTGGTATTCGCCCTGTTGTAAACCGGTTAAACCAGGACACTACAGTGTATTACGGCCTCGTATTTTGCGCGTTTTCTTGACCTTATATGATAACATGATATAATAGTGGAATAATAATGATAAAAAATGGATAGAAACCAGGCTTAAACAAAATCTTAATTCCATTACCCAGAAGCAGTTACGTCAAGTTTTCTTTTACAGTCAAGCCAGGTCCAGCGTAGCCCCCAAGATGCTATTAATAAATTTATTATTTGAAAGTTGAATCTGTTGGTAGTTGTAGATTTCATTCTTGTATGCGTTATGACCCGCGAATTCTTACGCGAGGCAGTTATGAAACTTCCACCAGCTCAGTTCCCCTGAATTTGATGAAAATGTCTGCCAAGAAATTTAATCCACTCAAAGATTTTCAATCTGACCAAATACAGAGAAGTTCTCGTAAAATATTCACTGCTCATTACGCATGTAGGAGTGCCGATTTGAATTTGACACTAGTTTCGGGAGCGACTAACGGATTCATTTTTCAAATAATCAATACATCAATAGAATCTAGCTTGGGGGGTACGCTTGACCTGCCTTGAGTGTAAGTCTGTGACGCCCTACTCGCTATATTCATTCCGGGTCTAGAGAGTTAAATCCTTTAATATTTTTTTAATCTACTTTTTGTCGTTGTTCTTTCTTAAGAAGGTTTTAAAGGAGACGAACATGTGGTTCTTCTTCCTACTGCTCAGCGTCGCAGCTTCCCAAGCTGGTAAAACATAACCTTTAATGGTTGACAGTACTTTTATTTTGTTATCGCTTTATTTTTTTTTTTCTGATTCCCATTAACTTTGTGTATTTACATTTTTGCATCATCACTTAAGCACACCTTGACAACATTGGTTGATGGATTTTGCGTTCCGGGAATGTATTGCGATACAGGCCTGGTCGTGACCCTACAGATATAACACCTAGGCTGATCTTTCCCCTTTCTAACAACAGTAGAAATGTATGCTTCCGGCTTGGCTACTAAACTCAATATAAGTTTTTAAGGCCTGTTTTTTGTGGCATAACTAGCAGTTAAGTTCTAAGGTCATTGGTTGTCTTTGCACTAGAGGATCAAAGTTTGAGACTCTACCGGAAAAAAAAAGTTACCAGAAATACGGTAACACATTGAACAAGTTAAGTTCGCCTCTAGTCACCGACTCACAACGCAGAAAATCCTTCTAGTGCAGAGACAAAAAGAATTAAACGTCTGATTTAGCGTAGAAAAAGGTCGTGTTGTTTTGGCAAGTGTTCATTATGGCCTTACGCTTGAAATGCTAGCACAGTCAACTCTTTTTAAGACGGACACCTTGCGGACCTGCAGTATGTGTCCGTCTAATAGAGAGTCAAATAAAGGAAGTGAAGAAAGGCAGGGACCAACTCTGAGTGTCCGTTTTACAGAGGTGTCTGTCTTATAGAGGTGTCCGTTAAGAGAGAGTAGACTGTATACCTGTGTCAGCTCAGCACGATGTTAAACGGTCACTCTGCTTTTGATTTATTCCTAGCACAATCCAACATAAAAATCAGTGGGACTGGGAAAAGTGTAAATGGTAGGACGTCGTTGAACATAAATGTGGAGATAGTTGGAGGAACGGGACCCACACAGGGCCCCATGACGGCTCCAACAAGTGGCACAGGCAGACCAAAAGCGGGAGGTACCTAACGTCGTTAATTTGAGCCATTCAAATAACAGCAAATCATGTAAACCTTAATAATGCCACTAAGTGAGTCATGCTTCTAGGTAAAAACAACAACAACGACAAGCTATATTTGCATGACTACAATAGCCTGTGTGAAGCTGCCCTCTCCTATTTAAAATAAACAGGGAAAAATTCAAGTACAAATGTTTGATAACTTTCTGGAAGGTTCTGACTTGTAACAACTTGTGTATAAAAGTCCATCGTACCAGACAGAATCAGAATCCAAAGTCCACAAAACATGTGTATACACTCCGTTTGATAACAACTGACATATCATCTATTAATAAATGTTAATGTTCGATTATCTTCTAAAAATAAACAATTTAAGATTAATGAAGTATGTTAAGCGACTAAAAAGTGTTCCAGGAGTCTTTGATTGAGAATTGAACAAACAACATTAACATTTCAGTTATTTCTTCAGTCATTTTTCTCTTGCGTGAATTCTTGTTGGTACTCCTTCTTCCCCCCGTCCGTACGTTATTTGTATTTTAGAATTATTATTATTATTATTATTATTATTATTATTATTATTATTATTATTATTATTATTATTATTATTATTATTATTATTATTATCATCTCTTTTATGACAGTCTTTGCTTGTGTTCTTTTTGTGCGTCAGCCGGGCGCAAACCATGCACCTAGAGCGTCAGTCACTCAAGTCAATCATTCAGTTCATACACTGAGCACCTTTCTGAGGATTCGCGCAGATCCCAGCATGCAGATCGTTTGAGTCTCTGTCATAGTAGCTCTCTCTGATACTTTCTTTATGTTTTCTACCATACCCTTCTTCACTGTTCCAAGCGTACCAGCAACCACAGGGATCACTACGGTTTCATATGCCACATTCTCTGTATTTCTAGTTCTAGGTCTTTGTACTTGCTCTTTTTTTTTAGTTTCCTTCAGTGCGATGTTTCTATCTGATAAAACAGTCATATCAATCAGTTTGCAGGTGGAATTCACTGAATCTTTAACGATGATGTCTGGTCTCTTCGCTGTTATAGTTCTATCAGTATTGACTGGCATGTCCCACATGATGGTGATGTTGTTGTCTTTATTGTGCATCACGGTCTCTGGCTCGTGTTCGTACCATTTGTCTGTAATCTCTATATCATGATGATGATGATGATGATTATTATTATTATTTTTATTATTATTATTATTATTATTATTATTATTATTATTATTATTATTTATTATCATTACTATTATTATTATTATTATCATTATTATTTTTATATGTCACAGTGGATAAAATGTAGCAATTCAACTAATTCAATGCTGGTCTAAAGAACGACCCCCAAAATTGTGTGCTTTTTATTTTTTTATAATTTTTTTACTTTTTCTTTTCTTTTTGCTGTTTTTTCTTTTAAGGGTTCACTGAAGAAGAAAGAGCTGGTTTGGCAAAACATAATGAGTATCGCCAAATACACGAAGCACCACCAATGACACTCAATAGAGAGATGTGTGACCAGGCTAAGGCCTACGCTGAGAGACTTGCTGCAATGGAGACACTGCAGCATTCAGATTCGAGCGAGAGGAGAGGACAAGGAGAAAACCTTTCCATGGGATGCTCCACCAGTGGTCCACAGTCCATGGAAGAGGCTGTTACAAACTGGTGAGAGTTAAGCCCAAATATTGATCAGCATCGAAAATCTTCTTGTGATATCAATGCTTTATAAAACTGATCGGTGACGAGAATGAAGGGGAAATGATCACACAAGATGAAGCTGGTTGATTCTTCCACAACTTCTCCCAAACCTTTTATAGCAAATATATAGGGAGAACAAATGAAAATTCAAATTTGGATTGAAGGGCTTTTTTATTAAACGGTTAATCAATTTAAAAGGATGCAAATGCCTCGATGAATTCGACTTCGCTGCATCCAAGTCCCATTAGCTCCCTTGTCCTTCTTCCTCATCTTCCCTTTTTCCATCTGTCTATTTTACTGAGGATCTCAATGGGCTTAACCGTCAGCTTTCAAGCATCCTAAAATTTAACCGTCAACCGTAGAAAAAGCTATTTTTTTACTGTCAACCGTAAATACGTTTCAAGGTATTCCAAATCTCCCTATTTCAGCAGATCTTCACTGAATTCTGGCTCCTGAAGAATCTGCTTTAAACTTGAAAAACAAATTCCTATATTCTCAAACATTTTTAAAAACAGATCTTAAAACTTGTGATTATATTTTGAAATTTTATAAGTGAAAGCCCATAAATGTCTCAAAATTGGAAAAAATAACCGTCAAAGTTACTGCCTCTATGAGACTCTCTTTTCTGGCCTGCGTGGTAATTTCCGATAACCGGGTTCAAGCTCTTGAGCACTGACTGGTAGATCAGCCAGGGCAATATGTCTGGACATTGGAAAGTTCCAAGAAGTGACGAGCTTTTTCTCCTTGAGAAAATATAAAAATTTAGGAAATTCGGTTAGGCATAAATTCCCTTAATTTTTCTGACTGGAATTACATCACAAACTTACTTGTCGATGAGCCAGTCTGCAGTGTGAACCCTCAGTACGTATCCTTTCTTGGTGTGAACTAAGCACAGCCCTGCACCTTGTCGTCTCTGTCACATTTTGATTTCTCTTTCCTTTAATTTTTTGATTTGTTTTAGGTACAACGAGGTCTGTGATCCTGGCTATAATTTCGCTAGCGGTGGATTTTCAGGAGGTACGGGTCACTTCACCCAAGTTGTTTGGAAAGAGAGCACTGAGCTTGGCATTGGGAGAGCTCAATCTCAACAAAACGGAATGGAATGTGCCTATATTGTAGGCAGGTACAAACCAGCTGGAAACATGATGGGTGACTTTCCACAAAACGTAAAAAAGGGAAGTTTCCACAGAAGTCAGTGTCGTTCTAATTCAGGCTGGCCATGGAAAAAATTCGTCGATCAAAATAAGAAAGGACCTTTTAACAAAAATCGTGTTACTAAGGTCGATGTTCCAGAATTACATTTTAATGTGCAGTCAGCCCACAAGATTCAACTACTGAAGAAGAAAACGTTTTAGATCCTTCTAATACTGTAACTCATAGTTGGAGATTGATAGTATGGTCTTAATTAAAAGCTCCTGTCCTTAATAAACTCCTCGCCACACTCTCTAAGGGTCGGTAGGCTCATTTTGCTATAGGCCAAATTAATTTTAAAAAAATCAACATCATTTAATAGCATCATCAACATCATGATCATGACCATCACCATCACCATCATCGTCGAATCAAAAATATTTGTGGGGCCTTTTAATACACATTATATAGATTCTGATTTTATACCATTGACGTATCTGTCCCTGCTTTTAAATTGCAACCATCATTGATGAGGGTGACTTAACTTGATTGGAATTGAATTTTGACTGTACGGGGGGTCTTAATCTTATTTAAAGCTGGAGAGCCTGGGTCATTCACTTTATTCCAGTTCATAACTGGTATTGATGAAAAACTCAGTAAAGGATAATAAAATCTGTATCCATAAAAATGAATGGTCAGAGATTATCACTAGAATCTCCTCGTTCGGAGCAACAACCGCTTTTCATTTTTTACCTCTAACTTTGGCTGCTATAACGAATGCCAGCACAGCAACCCTATGGTCAAAGAGATTTGCAAGAACCTTTCTGTGAGCTGAAGTCCCAGCGTGTTTCCTACCTCTTCTACATCGCGAATTTGCATTTGGTTTGCGCACTGTTGGATTAATGATTGCTGAGGCTAGAAACTGAAAAACAAAGAACATGTTTTATATGCATACCTGCCAACTCTCCCGGTTTTCCCGGGAGTCTCCAAGTTTTTCATCAAATCTCCCGGTCTCCCGGTTAGAGCACCAAATCTCCCGGATAAATGGACTTTTGAGCATTTCTGTGCTTTAGTTTGAAATTTAGTCCATTTTTTCACAAAATTCGAACTTTTTGTATTCATTGTACAGTTTCTGGGACATTTTTGCACATGTTTAGTCAATGACAAAGTTTAGTTCGCCATTACAATGATGAAAGCGCATTTTGATTCCATGTACGTCATGTAAGATGTCATATAATGTCCTAAGGCAANGTCTCCAGATTTTAGATCTCCGGAGGTTGGCAGGTATGTATATGTGTCCAATAATGGTGATCGAGATGGGTTCTTGATTGTTCCTCAGTACATAATCATTGTTTAGACTGTGTTACGAGTCTCCCACCACATCAAATTCTATAGTTTTACGTTAATGCACAAGATTTCCACCCGGATAGTTTGTGTAAATGGTAAGCACCCTAGTAGTATACTATCTATTTAGGTTACAACATTGGATAAATTTTGTATCAAAACTATTTACACGTAACTAGTTTGACAGAGAAGAAGGATACTTGCTACGTGAAGATCCAAAAACTATTAAAGGCTTGTTTTGATAATGAAAGAAGGCAATTGACCTTTGCATTCACCAAGAAACGTGTGTGATGAAGTTAGCCTTTTTTAGATATTACCTGAGCAAATTAATCTTCTGAACTTTTAGAAGATGCTCTTCTTAAAGAAGTTACAGGCGATTTTTCCAATACTACCTAACGTGCAAGTTAGTTGCCTCCTCCTACGCGGCGCATATGCTGGAAATATCATTTCAGGCACCGGTCAGCTCTAGGCTCCATTAGACGTTATCCAGGAAAAGGGTGTTTCAATTGAGTCTCTGTGCTGGTAGCAGGGGGTGATTATCCTGGTTTACTAACCGTTTGACGTAGAAACTGGTGACATGTCAAACCTGTGAAATGTATCAACGTGATACCAGTTATATCAGAGCATTTTACATAATATATCGGTGATCAAAGAGTCATTAATATCACGAATCACCACTACAGCAGTTTCTACTGAGAGAAAAAGTAAGATATATTTGTTGTATAGACATTTACTAGTTTGTTTGCTAGTTTTCCGTTTCTTCTCCTACGAACAATACTTTCTAACTCAGCTTAGTAGAGATGACTTCACGAGAGGAGTTGTGGAATTGCCATCATGGTTTTACTCTTTGAAGTTCTCTTCTAGAAGCCGCTTTTATATTTCGACTTTTCCCTTCAACATAACATTCGAATTCCTGTTAGCTAGTTACTTTGCTTACGCGCAATTTGTAGTCTGCCAGTTTGTTCGTTTGTGACTATTTCTTCCAACAGTAACGAGTAACGATAGATCTTAGAAGTATATATGATTAAGGATTACAATTGAAAGGCCGACAAAAATATTTTCACTTATATCAATATTATTAACGCAGATTTGCTGCCTTTTAAATAAGAATGAATGCGGTTAAAGGAAATTTTGTTTTATATGTACATGCCAGTCCATAAAATTTTACAATTGGCACGCTCACTGGAGTAACAAGATATTTACAAAGGATCTGATGGACGTAGGGCTTAATGTGAAGTGATATGTACCCTCGATTATTTTTTCTTAAAAATGTTTAAATTTAACGTTTATTTTTTTAAAAAAGCATACGCTTCCACTTTAGCTATAAAATTTGAGCTGCGTTGCGTAGTCTTACCGACTACCCCAGTGCCAGCCTTACAATTACGTTAGTCTATTTACAAATAAAGTAAATCTTATTTTTACATGCAAAAAGCCCATTTCTACAAGCCATGAAGCCTCCCTTAGTTAACCAACAGAATCAATGTTGTATATAAATTCAGTTACATGTGATTTGTGTCATGCATGAATTAAGTTTGTAGAACGGCCATCACCCTCGCACAACCTTCATCTTTTAGACCTGACCTTAAGCACCTGGTCTAGAAGAAGAACGATCACGTGGCCCCAGTAACAGGTGTTCCTTGAGGGGAAAGAGAAAAGCGATAAGGGGAGACGATGCCCTCTCCCCCTCTGCCGTCTAAAATCTCCTCTCCCTTAACCCTTAAGGCAAGCCTGATACTTAGGCTAACGTTCAAATAAATAAATCACAGAGTCTTTTCTTTATGGCATAAGAAGCTTGAGGTATAGGAGCGTGGAGAAATACTTTCTTGAAAAATAACAGGCCCTAATGAAGTGCATGCGTATTGAAACATACGCCGAGGCCACAAGGACAAGTTTGAGAAAATTGCCTTTTGATTGAGAAAGTTTCTGTGAGTGTAGAATCTACCTGCTGAGCAACTCATTCAGGTGTTCCAGGTGTTGAGATAATGGTATCGATGATGTTTGCAGTGCCTCCAGCAGGTACTTTGCGACGCTAATAACGATTTTAAGGTAGAACATCCACTTAGTGGTTCTTCGTCTACTTGACTGGAATTTGGAAATTTGTTATTTGAGGAGAGGGGAAAAAACGGAGTAGCCGGAAAAAAACGTTTCGGAGCAAAGGAGACAACCAACAACATACTCAATAGCCCAAGAAATTAATTATCTCAGATAAGTTATTCTCAGTCCGAAGACGATTACAGTTTCCATAGAAACACTATTTACGACTATTCTATAGACCGGGAGGTGCTCTCCCTTATATGACTTATACGGGGATCTTCCCAGCTAAACAGTGTATCATGGTGTTTGTCCTCTCTGTCCTAAAGAGGACATATATTTACGTGCAAGTCTGTCCTATTATAAACAGGGCACTGCTGGCACGATTAATCTGATTTGCTTGATGAAATTTGTCTGTACTCCAAGTATACAAATGCAATGACTATAATGTCAATTTGCTCTATTGCAATTGCCTATAAATCGCTTTAAAACAAGACAGCGTGCATTTTCCCCTTTTTCCTAAACAGAATGATAAAATTGAGCATATTGTCGTGAACAGGGAAGGTATTTTTTAGCTTCAATCCCTCAGCGGCTCACCTATACCATTATTGGTCGATCACCCCTCCCCTGGTAGTGACGGGTATTTTCGTGACTCGTGATCGGCTCTTTTTTCCTTGATTCCCATAGTGGTCCTAAAGAGTTATAAATAAAATAATTAATGCTTTATTCGAAAGATCAAGTTGGGTTCAAAAGATGGCGTAAGATGTGAAAGAACGTCAACCGATTTCCAGTCAGGGTTTGTCTGTCATCAAATGGGGCATTTCAAAATATGATTTCGAGTCAGGGTTTGTCTGTCATCAAATGGGGCATTTCAAAATATGTGATTTCTGAGATCGCCTCGCAGATACACACTGCAGATTCCGATTGTGTCCCAAAGCGATTATTTTATTAACGAAATCTCAATTTCATTACCCATAGTGCAAAAATCTTCTCAATGAGGCCCAATTTCTCGTTCTCAAGAAATGTCAAGGGAAATTTGACTGCCTCGTTTAGGAAATGCTATTTATCAAAGAACTGAGGCCTAGCCTTAACACTCAGAGTGACTACATCATTTCTTTTCACTTGTAAATGACGTCCGGTAACGTCGAAACGTCGGGTATTTTTTAACTTTTCTTAAAAATTCTTTAATGTTTTAAAGAAAAGTTTTTTCGCAATTTTTTATAGCTAAATGTTTTAAAAAGTCGCTTTTTTATACATAGTGCAGTTACGTTAAGTTTTCTCAAGAGGGATCCCCCATACACACCCTCTTCCATAGGTAATTCGTCTCGAGTTATTTTTAGAATTGGGATAAAGTTACCTCGCACGCTGCGTGGATGTTTCGTGGAGGTTTCGCATGACTAAACGCCGTGCAAAACATGTCGGGCGAAAGGCAATGAAAGGGTAAAGAGATCGAGAGCATTCCTGAATATTGACGCGAAATGAGTCGGCGCTCACCTGGGAAAAGGGAATCGCTGGACTCTTTGACAACCCGTGAAATCAGTTTAACTCGAAGTTGTCGTAACCTCAGTGCTTTAATAAAATGAGAAATTTCTCCGGTCTGTTGAAACCGGTCGTTTGTACAATAAAGCAAGTAGGACGCTAAGTGTTATTTTTGTTGAATAATAAAAGACTAAGAAAAAAATAAATATCAAACCAGAAATTGCTCTCTTCAAACTGTAAATTATAAATGATCCTGAGAGAATATTCAGTGTGTAAAGGAATTCCCTGCTGTACTGTTAGCTCTATACAAGAGAGGAAGGGCGAAGGACGCGTGGCAATGAACGTGGGTCATCCACGCGGAACACATTCG